TCATTTCTAAAGGGTTTCAAGTTGGGCATGCAGGTCTGTCTTACATTCGGCCCTTTTAAGCACGCATCATTCATACAGCAATTGTATTTTATATATCAATCATATTAAGTTCATATTTCAAAATTCATACTAAGAATGCAAATAGAAATACAAAAGCATGCAAGGCAAATGCATACCTTTAAATATACATGCACAGCACAGACACACACAAGGCAGACATATGTACAAAAGCACTTACATATTACGGCGCACACACTCAGCACACAAACCAGACACAACACATACCCAAAACACACACAGTTACAGCACATATACACAGACCTACTCATAAAACAGACACAACCTGTACACACAGACATTACGTACGAACAGACACAACAAACACCAACACAACACACACACAGGCATACGCACTTTCACAGACACAATCTACAGATACAGACTCAACACAAACACCACACTCAAGGAAGGACACAACACTCGTAGAAATAACACTTTCACACAGACAACACAGCACTTACATACACAACATACAGAGACCCAACAATCATACAGAAAATATACACACAGACAATTATATAAACACATACTCACAGGCACTCACACTCATCGACACACACACAGAGACAACGTTCACATGCACAACACTCACGCATACACAACATATAGAAAGAAAGAGACCGAAAAAGGGCAAGGGAGAGAAAAAGAGAGAGCAATGGAAAGAAAGATATAGGAGAGAGACAGCAAGGTTAGGGCCTTGAGTGAGAACGTGTACAATTCGGAAGACCAAATGGATCACCACAGTTTGATGACAGTAATGCAGACGGGAGTGACAAGGAGATCTGGCCGATACTCGACGCTCAGAGGAAAGAGAAGACGAACGTATAATTAGAATGCTGTTGGCACCACTGGATCAGTGGAAAAATGGGCAGAGGCAGACCAAGAAAGATGATGCTGTATGGATTAAAACGATGGCATGGCGGGATATCATCAAGACAGCTGTTACAGTCAGCTTGGGATTGTGATCTGTAGAGATGCATGAGCGCCTACGCCAGTTGACAGGGCACATGATGATGAGTTTACTCAACCATAGTGAGTTAAAACTGAGATATATTTAGCCCCCCTCCCCTCTCCCCTCCGCTTCCAGATAAAGACAGATATAACACTCATATATGATTTATAATAGAAAAAAACTATCCTTTACCAAATCAGCAAATTAAAGAATGTTGGCACAGCCACAACATCAAATGGAAGATGCGTGTCAGAGATTAAGTGCAGGATATGCCTAAAAATAAAAAAGATGTGTTTCGGAAGATGAAAAGGGATGTCTTATGTAATAAATCACTTTCATTGGACGTCAGGAAAAGAGTACTGAAATAATATTTCAAAACTGTCATAATGTGTAGCAGTGAATCAATCAATCCTGTTATGATGATGCGGACATTGGGAGACTGCACGAATCAGTGGGGCGAAAGGAGATACCTATCGGGGAAGAGAATGGGGTTTCACCAAGCACTATTTCAAAGGACACCAGCGGAAAAGGGCTACGAAGAAATATGATGAGAATCAGAATAGAAAGGACGAAGAAAGAAAGAGGAGGATGGCAGAAAGGAGAAATGGAGGAAGATGACACTCAGGTTCTGGAGCAGGACTGCAGTTCAGTAGTGGACGAGCAACCAGAACTTTCCGCCAGAGTGTACAGCTGGTGAACGCGAAGAAGAAGAAGAAGAAAAGGAGAGGAGGAAAAGAATTAAGACAATAAGAAAAACGGCAAGGGGAGAATGGTGATAAGATGAGAAGGACTATGACGAGAATTAGAAGAAAAAGGAAGGGGAGAAGAAGGAGGAGGATGATGATAAGGAAAATGACGAGAATCAGAAGGAATAAAAGATGGGAGAAGAAGGAGGATGCCGACAGGAGGTAAGGAGAGGAAGAGGACGAAAATCCGAAAAATATAAACAGTTAAAATGAAGGGATCAGGAAGAATAGAAATTGGCGGAGAAAAAAGAGGGAAGAAGCATATCAGCAATACTTCTAATGAAAGCGGTCTCTGACGCTCACAAGTGCTCCAGTCATGGCGGTTATCTTCCTTTCGCCTGTAGGTCAAGGCGGAGAACTTCCTGTTTGCTATCAACAACCTGAGCAAGCATGAAGGCCAGTAACTCTCGCACTTGCACATTAACTCTCACATTCCCTTTTTCCGTCTGTTGCCTTCCCCGCTTTCTTTATGTCTTTCTTTTTTTTTCATTCTTATTTTCTTCCTTTAATCTTTTCTTTTTTTTCTTCCTTTTTTTTTTCTTTCATCTTCCAGTTAAGTTATGAGAAGACCGTTAGTTTTCAACCTTCGTAATGTTTCTCAGTCGTCCCCAAGTGGGATGCAATTTTTTTCGTTATTTGGCTTTTGTCAGGGGCCCTAAATATAGCCGGGTCACAATTATGGCCTAACGGCTGGAACGGGGTTTCTGAGGACCTCTCCACGGGTGATCCTCATCCGGATATTGCACTTTGTGTCACCGGGTGTTTATCGCTTATGAGTTGTTCTGGTGAGGTACAACTACATACCTACCTTCCGAATCTTTAATAGTTCCTTATGTTATACTGACCCCCCCCCCCCTTTCCACATAACATTATTTTTGTAACTACTTCATACCTTTAGCCTTTATGTGTTTTCCGATAGTCCTAGGCGACCCATGTGAAAGGGTCATAAGACCCACAAGAGGGTCGCGACCCATAGGTTGGAAACCGCTGTCCTAGACCATCTGACGCCAAAACCCCGTAAGTTAGTTGCATATTCTTTACAGCACGTTGCAGAACCAACCCCAGCATTTTTTTGGGCTCGTGTGGTTTATCTAAGCAAATTTTACCTTTCAGTAGTTTTCCATTACGGTCAGCTCTCGGTACAGCTGCTGAAACTAACGGAAGACACGCTGCTTCCAAATCGCTCACAGCTGGGATCGAACCCGGCACCCCGGTAATACAAAGTGTGTTCACAACGCATAGGGCACAGTCGCCGTCAATCCCGTTTATAATTTACAGGACTTTTCTGTTATACATTTGTAGTTAAAGACACAAGCCAGTATGACATAAATTCTACTTAGTTTGTAGTTAAAGACACAAGCCAGAATGACATAAATTCTACTTAGTTTGTAGTTAAAGACACAAGCCAGAATGACATAAATTCTACTTAGTTTGTAGTTAAAGACACAAGCCAGAATGACATAAATTCTACTTAGTTTGTAGTTAAAAACACAAGCCAGAATGACATAAATTCTACTTAGTTTGTAGTTAAAGACACAAGCCAGAATGACATAAATTTTACTTAGTTTGTAGTTAAAGACACAAGCCAGTAATGACATAAATTTCTACTTAGTTTGTAGTTAAAGACACAAGCCAGTATGACATAAATTCTACTTAGTTTGTAGTTAAAGACACAAGCCAGTATGACATAAATTCTACTTAGTTTGTAGTTAAAGACACAAGCCAGTATGACATAAATTCTACTTAGTTTGTAGTTAAAGACACAAGCCAGTATGACAGACATTCTACTTAGTTTGTAGTTAAAGACACAAGCCAGTATGACATACATTCTACTTAGTTTGTAGTTAAAGACACAAGCCAGTATGACATAAATTCTACTTAGTCGCTTCAAACTACACGCATGAAGGTTGCAGGGGAGCTGAGTGTCTCGAAGTACGGTGTCCGCCTCGGGCTGGAGGTCCAGCGTTCAAGCCCCGGTGAAGGCTGACATTTTATTCACGTTGACTTCTAGTAATTTTCTCTGGTCTCTGGGTAGTAAGATCCAACGCCCGTGTGTATTGTTGTGCACGTTTTAAAAAAAAAAACCTGGCCGTTGGAAATCGAAAAAAGTAGCCTAACGGCGCAGCCCGGGCAAAATTTGGAGTTAAACATCTACCCAAAGTATTTCAGGATCCTCGTCGGTATACGGAGTTCGTGCACTGCGCTGAGAATTGTCGGACTCAGGCTTGAGTTAGAAGTAGACCAGAGCGCTTAAAAGTTACTGCCCTTGTGTCTTGATGTTGGTCCGTCGTCTAAACCTGTTATTGTAGTCCCATAACAACGTGCATCTTTAGATCACCAGATCTCGTTTGCGGTCTAATCTTCTTTTTCTTCTTCTTCGCGTTTACTAGCTGTAAACTCCGGCGGAAAGTTCTGGTTGTTCGTCCACTTCTTTACTGTAGTCCTGTTCCAGAACCTAGTGTTGCTTGTGCATCTGTTTTACAGATCTGACTCTTTTAAATGTAGACTGCTGGTTCTTTGTCTCTCAGGAAGATGCACTCCGACTTCACAAGAAGCTCCTAATTAGTCGACTCTTACCACATGCTTTTTGTGCAGGCAGTGGGTCTATTCTTGTTTTCACTATAATATGGCCCTGGAACCTACACGGGGAGGTCTGATCTGTTTCCTCCTTTTGGTCAGATACAACTGACTTCATGTCTGAGACCTGATCATTCAGGCAAAATCTGTATCCAAGTCTTTCTTGACCTGCCTCTTCCCTTTTGCAAGCCACGTAGTGTCGTTTTGGAGAGGCAAGAAGATCTTGTCACAAGTCCGTACTACTGCATTTTCCGTATTTCCGCTGTATTGAAAAAGTGCTTTTATTTTAGCTTTTTGAAAACTCAGTAACTGGCCGCTTTAAACTAGTAATTCTTTTTCGTTTAGTAGCCAATTATCTCTCAAAAAGCATGCCGTAGCAGGCGACAAATTAGGGGTGTTTCCTTCGAAGTCAGAACGCATCTGCCTGAGAGGCGAGAGGCCAAAGTCTGCATACAGATAAGCTGGAAATGATTGGCATGCATCACTCAAGCTCTGTAACAAGACCAAAGTACAGAAATGGACGAAGAACCGAACTTTTCGCTGTAGTTTACAGCTGGAGAACGTGAAGAAGAAGAAGAAATTTGATTCTTGTCAATTCGCTGGTTGAAGTTGTTTTTCTGACATTGTTTTCCCCCGTATCACTTTTGTTTTTCGAATTGTTGCAGGTTCCTCTCTTGAACTCGCACCATCCCTCCTCAACCTGTATGACCATCGGATTGCAACTGGGACCAAGGATAAAGATACAAGTGGCAACCACGTCGGTGATAGGACCGGACCCAAAACGCGGTCACTGCCCTCCAAACCTCGCCAGGACAGTTTTGATGGAGTGCAGTACCGCAGTGAAATACTCCCCGCTGAACGCCCAGTTTCAATGATGGATCACGGATTATCCACCCCCAGAAGCGTTTTATCCCTAGTTGATATCAAAAAGAGGCCATTAAGCATAAGTTCTGTTTCATCTACATCGTTAACGTCATCACCACGTCTTCCAAAGAAAAAAGTAATTCCATTAAGTGCTGACAATACTGGCATTATGAAAAGAGACAGACATGACTCTGACTGCACGCTGATGCCTGACTGCAAATCTGACCCTCGTGTTTTATCTTTGTCGGAATCAAGGCAGAGCGTAGACAGCGGTTGTGTGGAGGGCGAGAAGAATGGGGATAGATACGCAGACAGTGTCAGCATTACATCGTCAGATACTGGTAGCTGTAAGGATGTGAGGGATAACTCTCCAAGGGATTGCTCTGTTCTTTTGTCACCTCTTGCAGATAAACTTAATTCGGTTCAGGCGTTACATCAGACTCACGCATTGAACGTTTGCCCTGCGTCGTCGTCAACAGAATCCCACGAAAGTAGCGTGATGGCTACTGTGGATGTTCTAAGACTTAAGACATCCAGTCTAAACAAGCAACAGGCAAAGAATATCGCCTCACCGGAACATATAGTTAAATCAAAGCTGGCCTCAGAACACTCCTTTGGTAACAATCCACCACGAACAGACTTTAGCGGCAGTCCTAAAAATGCATGCAGTTCTCCAAATTCTGTATCTCGCCAAGAAGCCAGAACGAAGTTTTTCTCTAACTACGAAGAATACACTAGACAGTCATTTTCGCTTCCTGCTTCCATTGCGGAAGAAAACATCGAACGATCTTCTAGTCCACTAACTACAACATCCAATGACATTTCAAAAAGGCCGCAACCATCTTCACAAACAGCATTACCGGTAGCAGCTTCAGATGTAACTAGTCATCAAGCTGGACCAGGGCACGTTTCATACCACAAAAAACCCCCATCGCCTACTTCACCAGAGTTAAAGCCTGAACGTAGAGATCGTTCGTCTCAACTTTCGCCCACCTCAGAGAAACCGTCTAGAAGGTCAGAACGCTATGGTCCTGTTTCTAAGCACGAACGGCAGCCAACATCTCCCAAATCTGGATTTTCCAGGGTCTCAAAGAAGAGAGACTCTCATGCTCCATCGGATCCCTGGAAGTAAATCTAATCCCTTGTATGTCAGTTATGTGTCCAGGGTCGTTACAGAGATTATTGACTCGGAAAGGATATACATTGCCAGCTTAAAGGATATTATTCAAGTGAGTACGTTTTGTGTGTAGTCGGTATTCTCTAGATTGGTTAGTCTAGATGGTCAACATTAAGTTAATTTTTAAAGACTGGCGTTAAGGTTTACTGATCACGTGCCTCAAGAATCTTGATTTCTCTTTTGGTGTTTGGTAGCTCTTGCAAGCTTGTAGGATTATAATTGTCTTAGATGTCCTCTTTTTTTTTTTTTTTTTTCCACTAGATTTCTTCTACCATTAAATTGCTGTCAATTCGTCATTGCACTTGTTATTTGATACCGTATATTCTGTAATAACTAAATTCCATTTTTAGTGGTTCTCTGATCTACCTTTTTGGTCTCCTCCCCCATGTTTTAGATGCATGGCCTGAGCAGATATGGGCGATCGCCATCTTCTTATATCACTTGTGTTATTATTGTTTGAACTTTCCTTTGCTTCTCTTGTCTGGTAATCAGTATATCACCATGTGGTTGTATCGCTTATCATCATGTAGCAGTTTCTTTAGCAGAACGTCGCTCTCATCTCGGTCTGCCTGAAAGAAAATCGGTCTGTCGACAGCTCTCCCGCCTCGTGTACCTGCATACTCAAGAAGTCACTTGTATCATATGCTGATCTTTGTCTTGGTTGGTCACTGCCATTCCTTCCTGGTACCATGGATTCTGCTATTTGTGTGTGTGTGTGTGTCAATCCACCATGTTGATTGATATGACCAAAATATGTCAGTTTCCGAGACAAGATGCTGTTTATTAGCCAATCTTCCTTGATTATCACATCTTTTAAAATGGCAGTGTTTCTTTTTATTTCTTTGCCCATGGTATTCCGAGAATCTTTCTATAGCATTTCAGCTCAAAAGCCTCTAATTTTCTCCTAAGGACTGGGAGGTAGTCCACGACTCGCATCCGTGTGTTGCTGCAGGGAAGAGGCAAGTTCTCACAATTTTAACCCTGATTTCCCCGCTGGTGCCTAACCATTTACTTTTGATGCTGGTTATATCACTATTACACTTGTATGTGTGTGTATGTGTGTGTGTGGCTTTGCCTAGCAAATTTCATCAACCTTTTCACTATGGCTTGATGATGTGATCTCGCTACGTTTTGAGATGTCAATAGCGCACTGCTTTCATTTTCTGTTCACAATGTTGATGCGATCAAAGGAGACACCCAAATACATGGGAATCTTCCTATTTACGCCAGGGGAAGCGTTATACTCACAGGTGACTGGAGGTCTTGTCGTATACTGGTGGAGAGGGGGGGGGGGGCCACAAAGTACACCAGGGGAGGCGTGGGGGAGGGGGGCACCAAGTACACCGGGGGAGGCGTGGGGGAGGGGGATCTTGCATTACACTGAAAGGGATACGTGGAGATCTTGCCATATACTTAACGGGGGCGCCGGGGTCTTGCCATATACTTAAAGGGTCGCGGGGGTCTTGGCCTATACTGGGGGGGGGGGGGGGCATGACAAAGTATGAAGAGCACTGCTATAGACACATGTTAAAGGCAAGTATATAGCCAAACAGATCGAAGGATAGAACTAAGATGTGGACAAACAGCATTCTGGTGGAGTTTACAACCAGGGCGGGGGACAAAAAAGTCTTCGCAATCCATTAGAGACAACCTTCACCGTGGAGACGGCACCCGAAAGATTTGACTGATGCAAACAAAAACCCAGCGCTCCATAAGAGCTCAACACGCAATGACCTCGTTACTGGCTAGGATTTCACAATGGATCTAATCAAAGGGCGGGGACCAGATTACTGCAGGCAAAACCCTGCTAGTTTTACAAACTGTGACACTAATTGATTGTCGTGTTGTCTTTGTCTGTTTTCCTAAGTACACCCAATTGCAATCTGTCTCTTCGCACTTTCGTTTCTTCCATATACATATCTCTCTGTACCTCTTCCGTAATTCTTGCTTCCTCTCTTGTAATTCAAGCAATGTAGCCTTGGTCAAGGCCGTCTTCAGTGTAGCCTTGGGTCATCATATCAGCCAAAAGCCCTTTGTCTCGTGCATTGCAAATCATTTTTTTTTTAAAAACAGATGTTCTTCTATGATATGTTGCCAAACTCAGCAGAATATTCTCCACCCCGTCCCCTCTTTCTCTCTCTCTCTCTCTCTCTCTCTCTCTCTCTCTCTCTCTCTCTCTCTCTCTCTCCGTCTCCCGCTACCTCTTTTCTGTTCTGTACTTTATTCATTAGTGAAGCTTAGGCTCTCAATAAACACACTTTAAGTCATCTATCCATGCAGCACATCACTTGTGCTCCCAGTTTTTGTTTTATGCGTCAGCTTTAGGTCTCGTCCGTCTCTCTCTCTTTCTCTCTCTCTCTCTCTCTCTCTCTCTTGTCCGTTTCTCTCTGTCTCTCCTGTCCGTATCTATATCTCTCTATTGTCTGTCTCTCTCTATCTTGTCCATCTCTCATGTCCGCTCTCCTATTCTGTTTCCCTTTTGTCTTCTCTCTCCCTCTCTTGTCCGCAAAAAACACATATTCATTGATATTATGAAGTAGCGAACGAAAAATTGTATGATTGGTTGGGTCGGCCACCAATGATTGGAAGCAAATTATTAACGCTGGCGCCACAAACATGATAAACTTATTAAACGTGGGCGCCCACAACATGATAAACTATCTACGTGGCGCCACAACATGATAAAATATTAAAACGTGGTCGCCACAACATGAGAAACTTATTTAAACGTGTCGCCACAACATGAGAAACTTATTAACGAGTCGCCACAACATGAGAAACTGTATTAAAGGGTCGCAGCTTTAGAAAGTTTGAGAACCACTGCTTTAACTGTATATTAACTTTATCTTTCAAGTATTTGTTTCAACAGATCGTAGTTATTTATTATTTTTCGCCATGCAGAACTCATAGAAGTTATTATTTACTGCACACTAAACAAGACTTAAACCCCCACCACCCCCGGTTTTTATAAAATATTTTAGGTCTTCCTAAAAGTTTTCCCTGTGTCGGCACCTGCTTGTACATGCCCTGTGTCTCGCACAAAAAATACCGCAACATGCAAGACCTCCACGGCCAAGAGCCTAGATAAAATAAATCACATTTATCCCGGGACTTGATTCCCTATCAGAGTCCACAACATGAAGGCAGTGGGAACCTAGCACACGTGTAGCTTATAAATATGCAAGCGTCCCGCGCCCAGAGCACTCGCGTTGTTACAACATCAGTACGTGTCTCTTCAGGGAAGGCTTTCCATTAATCCAGTTATCTACCTGCATCGTGTTAGAAACAATAGCAAGTACCACCGCTGGGTGGCGCCAGTGCTAGTAAAAGCACTGTCAGACATGTATTGTCTATTTCGCCATGTCAAGGGAAAACATATCCAGAAAAGTTGTTTCTTGAGAAGGAGAGAGCACAAGATTCAGCGTTACGCCGTGTTAGTGTAGACAAGTCTAACGGGGGAAAAAAACTATAATGTGGAGTGAATATATTGTGCGCGACAGATGACGTTGATAAGGGAATAAGTTGAGGGCGGATAACTCTAGACCACGCCAACGATGAGAGCAGAATTATTGCAAGGTGACGTGTGTGGGAAAATAGCTAAAGGTATGGTTGGTGTTGAAGCCATACATGTGGGCGTGGGTGTGGTGTTGCAGTTTTTTCCAGGCGAAGTTGTAATGTAATGTAAATTATAGTATCATCACAGAACCTGTCGCATTGGGTGTGGTAATGTTCGGCTTTTATATATACTTCAACAATATATTTATTATTAATGCTATCGTATTTAATTCGGCTTATTTACGCTCCCTAGCTGTAAAACTCCTGGCAGAAAAGTTTGGTTGTTTCACACCACTCCTGGATTTGGCCATTCGAGCAGAAGCTTGAGCTTTTGTGTGCACATTCTCGTTTTACAGATCTATCTTATTTGTATGCCGGGCCTGGTTCCCTCGACTCTCAGGCATGAAAACGCCGCTTCGCCGGGGGGGGATATTAAACGCCTTTATATTTGTGTTTACATTAACGTCCATGTTTAGTAAAGGGGATAGTGGTTCCCATTCTTTTTCTTCCCAGAATGATAACTGGAACTACCACACGGGGAATAAAGCCATGGATGAGTTCCCTTCATCGTACCGCTTTTCTTGTTTACAGATAGTTTCACGGCCTGTATCTCATATGCTTCGACTTTCGCGGGGGGGAGGAACCTGCTGAAAAGTCCCTGATTTATTTGTATAATGATTGTTGTTTCCTTGTAGAAACGTAGATGCCACACAGTGCAGTAAAAACATAGCCGCTGACACTTTTTGACACACAGTCGTCTACCCACCGACGGACATAAACTAATTTTAAAATAATAATTTTCAGGAGTGAAAAAACTTTCCTAGGATCCAGAGAGAGTTAAGTATTTTTATATCGTCTTTGAACTATTTTCTAGTAAACGCGAAACCAATAACAACCCACACACCCCCGTCGGACAGACAGAACCCACTAAAACCAGCACCACCACGCAAACTGACCAGCCACAACAGTTAAGCATACCTAAACGAACAGGCCCGGAACAACTGACCGCCCACTACACACCATTCGTACTTGGCTGAACACCCAAACCACTCACCGCCCAGGCCACCACCGCGTACAAACTGACACGCCCACACACCACCCGTACAAACTGACACCCCGACGTACACCAATCGTTCTGGCTGACCACCCTGAAACAATCAACCACCCACACACATCCACCCATACAAACTGACCACCCACATACACCAGTATCGCACTGGCTTCACCCGAACATCAACCACCCGACACCACCCGAACAACCGGACCGACCGACCACCACCCTACAAGACTGAACGCACCCACATACTCAAGTCCGTACTGGCCTGCACAACCCGAAACAATCAACGGCTGACGGCCACACCCCTCCATACAAACTCGGACCACCAACACCTACATCAGTCGCACTGGCTGACCACCAAGTCATCACCATCAACCTAGACCACACACCACCCGTAACAACTGACGCACCCACAACACCGCGTCGCAGCTGCCCCAAAAAAAAAAAAGACTACCCAAAACAATCAACCACACAGGTTAGTTCGACGTTAGTCTTCCCCAAAAAGAGTATGTAACTTTTCATTCCGAAGTTTTGTTGGCTGGTCGGTTTCCTGAAGGTTACGGGTAGTCCGCGCTTTGTTGTTTTGTTTCCTGCGATGTCCGTGCATTTACGTTTTCATTCCGAGAAAGAGTAATGCCTTTTCCATAGATTGCAGCCACATCTCTGAGAGCTAGTTTATGTTAGCCCAGTTTCTCCATGTTTTTGTGTAAGTGTTAACAAGTGCTGGCTTGCTGAATATACCAACAACACGCGATGATCAACGACATTGCGGAACACCGCCAAGGTAACAGTTCAGGAACTAACCAATTCAGAAGTTATCTATTTGTTGGTATGGCGCGGGCGTGGAGACTAAACGTTAACATGTCACCCATTTGCCGAAACAGTGTGTTTATCAACGATTGATATCCTATTGACATCCAGTTTTTTTTTTTGGAGGGGTGGGGTGGGGTGTTGGGGGGTGTAATGCAGCAAATGTTGAATAGTGAACACTATCATAGCACTTGTATCCACAACAATATTCTCACCAAAACGCTGTTGATATCAATGTCAAACATCTGGACACGTCTGGTCTTCATAAGACAGAAGGAAAATATTCACGACAGAATAAAAAAAAATGTTGACGTACTATGCTAGGTGTAACGAGAAAAGATCGACTTATGATCAAGCTATGATATCAACAGAGGAGAGTCCAGCACAAGAACTAATGCTTAACTTTATAGGTAGACACCAATTCAATGGTTTCGGCCATGTCCCTAGATTTGACCATTCAGACATAGCCACCATAGAGAGCTATGTTAAACAGATACAGTGGTATCAGAGCTAGAGGTCGACCGCGCGCAAGATTAGGGACCGCAGCAGATATATCAGAGTCACTGAAGAGTACTATATACGAAGCTTACACAAAAGGCTCGTTCCAGAGATCTCTTCCTTGCCTGACGCCGCGCAGCAATCCAGGAGTAGAGGAAAGAAGACGAATCAACCTGATGCTAGAAAGAAATGAAGAGCGTACAGCATGACAGTAGAAATATCAAAGGTTGGGGACGACCTAAAAAAACATGGATTGAAGGAGTCACTAATACGTTGACTCCACGACATTACAGTATACCGGGCAACCAAGCGTGCCCTGGTTCGAAAATTGATCCTCTGGTAACATGACACGCCTAGCGGCACAACGAGGAAAATGAACAAAAGGAAGAAAGATGATTGTATTTACTTGTTGGGAAAACAAATTAACTCGTCTGCAGTTTTATAAACTGAAATTAGTATTATTATTATTATTTTTTTTTTTTTTTGATTACGGTAACCTTCATTACAAACTCAACCCGCCTGCTCTCTAATTGTTTACCAGCACATACACAACACACACTGACATATCCACATATACTTATACGTATAGGTAATGTTGAAATTATTAAGAAACATTAGTTCAGACAGCTGTCATTGATTTTTTTCACACCTGCTATGGACATGTTTGATTCAGAAATCAACATCACAGCCCTTAGGACACTCCCATACGCGCTTCGTTCCCCATCTCCATGCAGCAAAGCAAAGAGTTCCACTTGCAATGGGCGTTAGTAAAACTGTCTGATTGTATATCCGTCTCGTCTTACCCTTGAGTAATGAGCGTCGGCCGGATCCGCTGGTAACTCCTCGCAGCGCAGTTTTCCTCAGACCGTAATGGATTTAATATGCCTCCGCACAGTTCAACGTCGCTCCCCAACAGAGCCCTTCACAACATGCTGGTCGTCATACATCAGTTCACCACGGACTCGTGTAGAACCGGTCCATCTCTAATCTACCTTCTCGTTTCCACACACCGGCATACCTGGAAGAAGAAAAAAATCCTCCTATAACAAAAAGTATTAAATGAAGTTCTGCTATTTCTTTTCTTCAGGGCTACCTAGAACGATGGAGAAACTGCTTGACTCAGAGGATGACAGGAAAGACATAGCCTGCCTCTTTGGCAACATACGGGATATATACACGTTCGGGGTGGTGTAAAATGTCGTTAACACTTTCAGGGCCAGTCTTTCTGCTAAGACACCCCTGCATGGTTTAAGCAAAGCTCAGAATATGTGCACATTCGGCAAGTAAGACATAAACACTTTCAAGCAGTCTTGTTGCCAGAAAAACAGTTGCCTGTTCACCAACGTACATGATATTTTCACATTCAGAAGAAAAAGCACAGTTAACCACTTTTCAGCAGTTATTGACAAGAACAGTACTGACACAGCCTGCCTGTTTTAGGCCATTTGAGATATATGCAGTTCAAGATGATAGGTAAATTAATACTGTCAGTCACTGTATTGGCAGGTAGAATTTTATCGAAATGTTGAATATGTGAATAAGAAGCGACAGCAGCAGCACTCGGACACTCCCAATAAGTGCTCCCGTTCCCATCTTCAGTAGCAAGCAAGAGTTCCAGTTCCGATGGCACTTGTAGTCGTCGGATTGTATATCCGTCTCATCCATCCCCTTAGTGTTGAGCCTCGGCCACGTCCCCTGGTAACTCCTCGCAAATGACTGTAACAATCTATCTGCACATCCGCACTGTTCACTTGTTCCCAAACGGCCCTCACAATATCTAGCTTTCTAATTTAATATCTAATTTCTTCTAAATGATTTCCAGCAACCTCCTTAATTGCGCGTTGACTTCTGCGTCTCGGTGTATTTGACACCAGGCTACAATGTCTGATGGCTTTCCTAGGGCATCTGATTTAAGAAGTGTTGATTTTAAGTATTGTAGCTTTTGATAAGTCACATAAAAACCTTCTGAAAAACGATCATACCCTACCAGTGATCAAAGTTAAAAAGAGTACTGATGACACACAACTTTAGAAAATAGCTGGGATAGAATAGCATTTTTTTTTTCCCCTTTATGAAAGTGACTTGCACAGACTTGCACTGAATAGTCAATGCATATTGGTTAGTTGCGTATCCTTTACAGGACGTTGCAGAACCAACCCCAACAGCCCCTGACAGTTGTGTGGTTTTTTTCTAGGCAAATTTTAAGTCCAGTAGTTTGCCGTTTTCTTCCGGAAGTCAATGCCATACATACACGAAATTAGAAAGAGCAGCACAAAAAACAGACAAATGTAGAATCGAATTGATCAGGAAACTTCATATACGTCTTATTATAGTCCATGATGTGTGCCGTTGGTAGTTGCGTCCTGTCTACAACCTTCTGTCTCATGTACTTTCAGTCAGTTTCTGACACAGATGGCCTCCCATGCCTGATGATGTCAAAACTGTCCAGCATCTGCTTTCTCGGTCTCCTCCTGTCCCTCTTTCCATCCAACTTTACCAGTCACGATGTATCCTAGTTTATCTTTCCTCCTTCTCATACAGCCCACTACTAAAAATGCTTAGTTCACCTTTCTGATCGTCATCCATCGCAGAGGAGTGGGTGGGCTGTTATCAGTCTCTCACAGCAGGAGGCATGTGTTCTTATCCCTGGTAAGATGGAGGATTGTTAAGGTAAAAGAAACAAACCACGCCTGTACACCCACACATGGCGCCAGCATGCAATCTTTATAGTGTCAGTGGAAGTAACAGGAAAGTAAGATCATTTAGATGCTGTTAGCTTTTTGTGTTCCTGTCTGTTTTAAATATCGTCCTCAAGTGCCCTGGCGTAGGCGTTCATGCATCTTTATAGATCTCGGTCTTTTGTTTTCTAGATTAACTCCACTGATGATATTCCCCATGCCACTGCCTTAAGCCATCCACCCTCATTTCTCTTGGTCTGCTTCTTCCTCTTCTACCAGTGATCTTTCCAGTTGTCCCGATATTTTCCAAAGAACTTTGTCTCCTTCTCATTGTTGTATACAATGTTCTACTTTCATTGGCCATTTCTAGGCGGTTATTCTGACAGTCCAAGGTATTCGCAACATTCTTCACAAGAACCACATCTCAGCTGCTCCAAACTCTTCCTAATTTGTTGATTGCTCACATTCCAAGATTCACTAGCATGCAACATAACAGGCTCGATATAACATTTCAGTGCTCGTTTTCTGATATTTATTGAGAGTGATTTATTACATAAGACTGACTGACTGACGTTCTACCCCACTAGGACATCACACAAGCGATAAACGCCCGATGACACAATGTGCCACATTGTGGATGAGGATCACCGTGGAGAGGTCCCATAAACCGCGTTCAGCCTTTAAACCATATTTATGCCCAGGCTATATTGCGGCCCCTGGCAAGAGCCAGAGTAGGGCTTCAAATAACGAAAAATTTCATCATAAAAAGGACGGGAAAATAGTAGCATGATTACATAAGATACTTTTCATCTTTTGGAATGCTGCCTTTGCCTGGCCAAGTCTGCTCCTAATTTCTTTCAAAGATCGTTTTAAATATAACAATAGAAATACAGTAAAATCTTGTTGACATGCATTCCAAGGACCAAAAAAGCAAGAGTTTTATGTTAAAAAAATAACTGACGACTGAGCTAATCTGGGGACTGATATATACATATTAATACATACCTATACTAGATGCGAGATCACAGCAGCTTGGTCTGAAAATCCATAAAGAAAAAAACAAAGATAATGAGAATCAATCAGGCATATAGTAATGTGGTTTCTCTTAATGGCACCCCACTCCAAACCGTGGAGTCGTACACCTATTTGGGCAGTAATGTAGATAAAGATGGAGGAACTGATAGAAATATTAAATAAGAATATAAAAGGCAAGAGGAGCTTTCATAGCACTAGGGAATTTGTGGAGGTCAAAAGAAATTAAAAGAAATACTAAACTAAAATTTTTTAATTCTAATGTCAAATCAGTACTTTTGTATAGGGCGAAAACATGGAGAACAACTAAGGCAATTACTAATAAACTAGAAACATTCATTAACTGATGCCTTCGCAGAATAGGAGGAATTAAATGGTGTGATAGAATAACTAATGTAGAGCTTTGAGAGAGAACTAAACAGGCTCCAGTGGACCAAGAGGTGAGGAAAAGACGCTGGCGTTGGATAGGACACACACTGAAAAAACAGGAGAACAGCATAACTAGAATTCTTTGCATTGGAACCCACAGGGGCATAGGAATAAAGGACGACCAAAAAACACACGGAGAAGAGAGCTGGGTATTAAGTCAGAAAGATGGGGAGGACATGGGGAGAGCTTCACGCAATGGCGAAGGATATAACGACTTGGCGTGAGTTGGTTGAGGGCCTATGCTCCATTGAGGGATAGAAAGGCAGAAGAAGAAGAATTCATACCTGCTGGGTCCAAAACCGCATTCACGTTTAGTTAACCAATTTCAGGCTCTCGTGCGGGAGACCCTGGTTCGACCCCCAGTAAGTTGATGGGGTTTTCTGTTGGGGACAAAATTAAACAGGTGTAGATGCTATTTGTTCCCGTAGCACATTGGTTAGACATACCCCGTTCCCCTTCTCTAAGTTGCATCACTTGTCCCCACGTGGGGTGTAATTTTTAGTTATTTCAAAGCCCCCACCTCGGCTCTTGCTGGGGGCCCTAAATATAACCGGGTCATAAATACGACCTAACGGCTGCACGGGGTTGCGGAACCTCTCCACGGGTGATCCTCTTCCCCATGGTGGCACTTTGTGTCACCGGGTGTTTATCGCTCTGTGTGATGTCCTGGTGGGGTACAATTTTACATACATACATACTTCTCTCAAACACCCGTCCTTGCCGGATGCACTTCTTACACTTAATTGCATCTAACCTCGTGTCTTCTATCAGGATTCGCCCATAGATGATCTTCAGAATGTTTCTAATATAATAAATGATGGTACTGTGACTGGCCTTGACCTAAATTTATACCAGCAAAGTTTTAAAAAGGGTGGGAAATTTTAGGGAAGAGAAGAAAAAAAGGGGGGGGGGGGGGGGGGGAGGGGGAAAAAAAAAATAGTTTATGTCAGCTTTTCAAAATCAATTACATTGAACAAACAAAAGACGTTGCGGCGATTAGCCTTCGTCAGCACATAAAGACAACACAGCACACATACACAAATATGCACTTACTATGAAATTGCTACAAAGGATTATTATGTACTAAATAAATGATGCTCATATGACGAATACTTTGCTCAAGATGATGAACGGGACAGGTACTAACCTATACATCACCACCGCGGGGACAAGAAGTGAAAACTGAGTCGGTATACCTGGGTTATGGGAGGAGTTAACGACAACAGATACAACAGTGTTCACTGAGTGTCCAAAAAGGGAAGAGAGGGGTCAGCCAATATGGCGTAACCAGGGTCGGGTCGTGGATATGACATTAGTACATCCACATGGGATAACAGTGGTGTTTAGATACCAGAAGACAGGAAGAAACAAATATGTTTTGAGTATCGTCGTGAGTTCCTATTTGAGGCATTGGAGGTGCGTGACAACTGAGACAAAAAAAGAAGTCAGCATTAATATTGATCTTGTATGTATCACTGAAATCACTTTTAAACAGGCAAATATTTCAGCAATATCTCTTCAGGGCAGGATATTACCAGGAAGAAAATCTTTTTCTGCAATTATCTGAAGATGTAGATGCCTATTTACAACACGGTTGCAATTTACGTCCGTCGGCGGACACATCCAACCTCTGCAAACATTTGATGCCCGGGGTTAGCGATTCTCCACACGAGGAAGAAATAAAATGAATCATAGAAGGAAGTAAAATAGACAGGGGCTTAATTGTTAAAAAAGCTAGTAAGATTTAAAATATGGATTGTTTTTCTTTTATTTCAGCACATTCTTGAGTGACCTTGAAGCAGCTGGCGCAGATCCTGTGAAGGTTGCCCAGTGTTTTGTGAAATACAACAAAGGTTTTGTTATCTATACAGATTATTGTACCAATTATCCCAGGTTAGTTTTTATTTTCTATTGCCCACTGGTTTTGTTATCTATATACTCAAGAGGTGTCTTGTCAAACAGCTAAGAATGATGGGCTCTCATGCGGAGACCTAGGTTCAAATCCTTGATAAGTTTATGGGCGTTTTATGTTGGGGAATAAATAAAATCGTTACCTGAAGTCAGTGGCGACTGCATCACATGGCTCTATATCATCAAAGACCCCCTTCCCCAGGCAAAAGTGGTATATACAGTAGTGAGCCCATCGCCCCCCCCCCCCTTTCCACACTTAACATTGACGTATAGGTAAGGTATGGCAATAGTTTCCTCAGTGCTGACTCTTCAAAAGCTGGATGGCTAGGGCACACTTGTAGAACTGATATATAGTAGAGTTCTTCAAAATATTCTCTGGGGCTGTGTGGTCTCGAGGCATGGTGTCCGCCTCGAGTGCTAGAGGTTCCAGGTTCAATCCCCGGTCAGGGCAGGGATTTTTTCACGTGGACTTTGACTTCTAGTAATTCCCTCCCCCCTCCCCCCCCCCTTTCCCGGTGTATGTGTAGTGAGATCGGACGCCCGTGTGCATTGTTGCACACGTAAAAAATCTATTGGCAGTTGGAAAAAAAAAAGAGTAGCCCAACGGCGCTGCCTGGACAAAATTTGTAGTTAAAAATCTACCTAAAGTATTTCAGGATCCTCGCCGGTGCTACAGAGCTTGTGCACTGTGCTGGGCTTCTTCAGGCTCAGACTTGAGTTAGAAGAAGAATGGAGCACATGAGTTACTACCCTTGTGCCATGATGTTGATCGTTGTTCAAACCTCAAACCAGAATATTCTCTATGTGCAATTACTGATGAGTAGATATCAGAATTAGCTTCTGCTACCATATAAATATATGTGCAAGTAAGGCATGAATGATACACGTATTAAGGTGGATTTGTGGAAACAGGATGCTATGAACTCTGCTGCATGGAGAAGGAAAGTCAGAAAGGGACAGATAAGACCAGAGCTGAACCTGGCACCTGAAAAGAAGCTTGTTAAATACATGCAGTGGCAATAATGGTCCTGGAAACCCTCTTATTTTGGAAGACTTTTTCTGAATGAGTCTTGCTAGTCACACCTGTCCTCATCATCGGATGGGATTCATATGCCTCCTGTGCTCTGGAGGTCTTGGGGTTCATTTCAAAGCTGCGCCGTTCAGTTCATGAGTTTAATTTTTACGGAGATCCCTGGGGATCATCGCCGGAGCTCTGAAGCTCGTGCTCTGTGCGGCACTCTCCTCAAGCGGCAACCCATTCTGGGTAGAGATATCGAGCCATATATGATAAAAGTTGGTGCTGTGAAGTCAATCCTCTCGACTAACCTTTCGTATGCCCCCCTGTAGAACAGCATAATACTGTTGTCTGGAAAGATGCTAAGTTGCCGATGCCAGCAAAAGTTGTTATCTACACAGTTTATAGTATCAGTTATACAAGATTAGTTTTATTTTCTCTGACCCAGTGTTGTGTGCTAAATGAGTCACCACTAGTCAGCACACTACCAGGTGTCTAGCAGGTACCCTTCCGCTTCCTCTCTTAGAAACAGAACTCGACGACGATGACACGATGACACCGTCATACATTTTATTCAACAGGATACATGACACAAATGCAGAGACGTAGTTATTGATCACAGTTGACATTCGCACATAATTCATTTTGCCCTCACTCGCTCTCTCTCTCTCTCAATTTGTAGCGACCTCTCCTTGACCACTACAGCTCCAAGGACTACAGCGTCTCACACTCTGGGCGCGCCGTACAACTGAACAGGACGAATTATCCCATTCACTGGACCTTGATATTATTTCAGCATATAACACGGCTGACTGGAGACGGACTTCCCTTGCCGTACTCCGAAAACACACAGCTGTCGTCAGCTTGTCGAAGGGCTCCGATGACCGACAGGACTTCTACCAGAAGTCCCCTCTAGCACACAGCTCTCGTCGGCACCACTCCCCCACCCCGTTCTGGTTCACTAGTGGTCCTCCTACGTCTCACTACGTCACCACCCAGAACAGGTACTACTGGAGCCTTCTGTATCCCTGGACTTACTTCGCCAGCGGGATCATACCTTCGACCAGAACTGCAACCTCAACACTTACTCAGACCTAAACGCCTGATAGTCGTACCGTATTCTTGTCTGTTAAACTCGAGAGGGATATCATGGACCCTGAATTGGTCCCTGACCCTCGCTTTCTCTCTCTCTCTCTCTCTCTTCTCTCTTCGACTCTGACTGCCTCTGACTGACTACTCAGCCCTCTCCAATTTAGCCCCCTCAAATCTGTGTAGGTGGATGATGTTTATACACGAGAGGCACACTTGTATGGTCGTTCTCGTGAATCATGATCCTGTGGGTGTTCTCGAGACTCACGCTCATGTGGGCGTTCTCGAGGATCACGCTTATATGGGGGACTGATGTTACCTGAGACTCACGCTGTCACTTAATTCCCACTTTCTCTGTTTATCTCATTAGCCATGCTTTCAGCCCCTACACAGTAACCCACGCGTCCACTGTCTCGTGGCACTACAGAATTACTCTCATACCACTGTCCCTTCACACAATATCACACTTTACCCAAATCAGCATGCAACACCCAGTGTATTGTTAAGATCATAATGTGTCATGTCCATCGACATATGCAGTCCTGTATTACTGTTTGACTTGATCACCATAGTCTTGGATAAGATTTGTGCCGTTCATTGCCTTGCTTACGCTGTGTGGTCAAGCCACCCAGATGTTTGTTTTTCTGTCTTCCTCTTGCTGTTTGCCCTCCAAGTTTCCCAGTTGTCACAAAGTTTTCAAATTTATACATACCTGAAAAAAATCTTAGCTGTTTATGTCTAATTTCTCTTCCAAGTTTATAGGTTTCATCTCTTTCTTGAAGAACCGCCTCATTTATTTTCTATGTGTTCGTAATATACATTTAACCCAGAATCTAAATTTCTGCAGCCATCATATGTTTCTTAGCTTGTATTTTTATTGTCCATGTTTCATGTGCATACACCAGTACCGGTTCTATGAGGGGATATCTATAAGAAAGTCACAAATGGTTGTTAAAAAAAAACATAAAACTAAAGATAATAACTTGAAAACCATTTATATTTACACATACACTGTCCCTGTATTTTTTAACAGAATTCCAGCATTGATGCACTTGTTCCCTCATTGTATCAGTCCTTCCATCAAACCTGCTGCATAGAACTGCGAGATTTGTTTTCTAAACCACAAATTCCCTTCACATTCAACTTCATCAATCTAAAAATGTCTCCTGCCAAGGTGGATTTTCAGTAGACTTAAATAGTGGAAATCGCTAGGGAATAAGTCGGGGCTGTAAGTGGATGTTCCAGAAGTTCCCACCCTAGATGGTTAATTTTCTCCTGAGTTAACTGAGCCGTATGTGGTCTCGCATTGTCATGAAGGAGCAGTACTTTTCTAATCAGCAGGCCTGGACGTTTTCTTCAAATTGCATCATGAAGCATCAATAGAACTTTACAGTATGAATCATAATTCATATTGTCACCTTTTTTTTAAAAATTAGTTAAAAGCACTACATCCACTACAGAACGTTGTTTCCATCACAGCCAGCCTGAAATAAACTCATACACTGAGTCCTCAACTAGCTCTCCCCACTTCATATGCACTTTCTGCTTAGTGTATTGCTTATGTCCTGTCCCCAGCTTCACGCTGGTTGGCCCTGCTTCTCTTACGCAGAACCATGTTAAATTACTGTTTCCATGCCATTGCGCCTTTTAATCTGACCCAAGTCTCTTATTGAATATGTGTGTGTGTGTGTATATATATATATATATTATATAAATATATATATATATATATATATATTAGATATATATTATATATATATTATATATATATATATATATTCACCTTACTTTTATCTTGCAGTAATCAGATATGTTGTTTGTCATTATTTATTTAACATTTGCGATGGGATTATAAGCAACACATCTGACTGGCAGAGCACAATTAATTTTTCATTTGTTTCATTGTTGTGTCACAGGGCTGTGGAGGTTTTAACCAGATTCATGCAGCATCCATCCCTAAGTCAACTATGCAAAGAGAGGCAGCATTCACTTGGCCATGCTCTCCCATTGGGAGCATATTTGCTCAAGCCAGTTCAGAGAATCTTGAAATACCATTTGCTCTTACATGTAAGTAAATGCTTCTATTGATATAATACTAGACGCAGATACTTGTGAAAAAAGTTTAGAATATTGTTTTTGGAGAGATGAATACAATTTTCTCCAGGTAATGCCGGTGCGTTGGGAAATGAGCAGGCAGATAGACTGGCTGGCTCTACACCACTTGGTGGTGAACTGATGTTTGACAAGTTAGATATTGTGAGGGCCCTTTGGAAGTGAGTGAACAGTGCGGAGGCACAGACAGATCATTACGGTCTAAGAAGTATGGCGCTGTGAGGGTATCTGGCCGATGCTCAACACTCAGGGGAAGGATGAGACGGATATACAATCAGACAGTTACTGGTATCATTGAAATTGGAACTCTTCAATTGCTCCTGAAAATGGGGACTGAGCACTTATGGGATTGTCCTGAGTGCTGTGATGTTGATTCTTAATTCAACATTCAACATTTTGAGATGATTACAGCTGAAAGAATCAGTTTCATTCAACTGGGTTTTATATCATCTGGCTTGGTTTGACCTCTACAAAGTGTAGAGCATCACATTAGCACAAACACTGAAGATCTACATATGATTCCCAAAGAACTTAGAAAGAGAAATTGCATCAATTACTAGAGTGGAATAGTTAAAAAATAAAGATAAAGAAAGCAAGCACTGGAATACTGAGATCACTTTTCAAAACCATAAGGAAAATTAAATTTATGGGAATAAAAAAATTAACCTTTTTTGCAAAATAAAAGGTAAAAAAGTAAGAGACACAGAGAAAGAGCATGATGTATATGGAAAATGTAAACAACTGGGAAACAATTTGTTATTAGTGAGACGAATTTTATTAACATATGAAAAGCCATAGAGAATTAGAGAGTAGTTTTCAAATTCAGCTGACATTATGATAAGTAAATAAAACAGTGACACATCAGAGGAGGAGAAACAGTTGTTAAATTACAGGGTCTCGTCAGTGTATACAGCTGTGCCTCTGTCAGCAGAATTTTCAAGAATTAAGGCTTGAACTTCTGCCTCAGCCACCAGCAGGCCTTGTCTGCATTCTCTATCCAGTTTTATGTAGACTGAAAAGGATGTACACCACTCCGCTGGCACTGGTACTAATTCCTGACCAGGTTCTGAGTCCTCGGTTGACCAAACTTGTTGATTCTTCTTCTTCTTCTTCTTTGCGTTCACCAGCTTTACACTCTGGCAGAAAGTTCTGGTTGTTCGTCCACTTCTGAAATGCAGTCCTGCTCCAGAACCTGAGTGTTTCATGTGCATCAGTTTTACAGACCTGATTCACTTGAATGCAGACTGCTGGTTCCTTGCCTCTCAGGCAGACGCGCTCCGACTTCAAAGAAAACTTGTTGATTAATATCCTCAGGATACCCATCCAGGATTTCCCTCTTTCTAGCTTGCTGCTCTTCTTCCTGCGAATCTCACTGCGCAGTAATTGGTGTGTATTAGCACTGATACTTGTGGCCTAGAAAATGTGAAGGCCAAATATTTAACAGTCAAGGCAAAATCTGCTACAAGACTACCCAAAAAATATTAATAGAATATTGTACTTGAAGAGAGGCACTGGCATTGAAATCTCTTCTTCTGAATGTTTTTTGAGTAGTAGCAATCAAATACACCACTGCTGGCTTGCTAGGCCTGTCGCCTGGTGGGGCTGGAAAAATTCTGACCTATTGGTGCCCGTCTCCTTCCATGCGAGCCATTGCCCAGTTAGCCTGAAGCTTCGCAGCTTCAGTTTTTTGGGCGAGCACCATGAGGAGGTGGGGCTGACCTGGGTGCTCTACGGGTCATTGGCAGGCTACTTAAACTTCACTTTTCACCTCACTGAAGAGACGCTAGCTTTTGGTTCCAGGGCACTGTTATACGGAAAACAAGAATAGACCTGCCTTCCCCAAAAGCATGTCGTATGAGTTGACAGATTGGGAGTTTCCTTCACAGTCGCAGTGCATTTGCTTGGGAGGCAAGGAACCAACAGTCTGCTTACAGATAAGCCAGATCTGTAAAAAATGCATGGGCATGCAACACTCAGATTCTGGAACACGACTCAAGTCCAGAGGTGAATGATCAACCAGAACTTGTCGCTGGGGTGTACAGCCGGTGAATGTGAAGAAGAAGAAGAAGAAACAATGCTACTACAGCTTATGTTGAGTGTTCAAGGTGCTCCCTATGGCCCATGAACAGATTATGAATTTTTTTGGTTTTCTTCTTTGTATTATCTGTTAGTTAGTCTTTCCTCTTGGGCCTAGGGCAGCGCATAGGGCAGAGTTCATAACTCTCCATGTCTGGTGGTTCGTTGCCAACTGCTTTAAGTCTTGGATGTTTGTTAGGCTCATGATTGAGCCTTCCCTGATGATAGTTCAATGTAGAGTCTCTTTTGGTGTTCCCTGTTTTCTTTTCCCCTCTGGTGTCCATATGAGGGCTTGATGGGGAACTTTGCTGAACCATAAATGTGTTTAATGTACTTTCAGAACATTGTGAAAAACTGTGAAAAAGACAGGGAGGAAGCTGCCGTTCTTGAAAAGGCTTTTCATCACATGACTCAGATGGCTCATCACATCAATGAAATGAAGCGGAAACATGAACATGCAGTGAGGATCCAGGAGATACAGAGCCAGCTGGAGGACTATGTTGGTGAGGATCTGACAAGGCTGGGAGAGCTGGTGCTTGAGGTAGGAGAGCATGCCATCATTTGATGTTTAATGTCTTTGCATGCAGGATGGATGGTTGGCTGGGAGGCTTCTTGGTATTATTATTCTCCTCCTCTTTTTCTTCTTATTCTTCTTCTCCTCCTCTTCTTCTTCTTATTCTTCTTCTTATTCTTCTTCTTCTTCTTCTTCTTCTTCTTCTTCTTCTGCTTCTTATTTTTTATCCTTCTTCTTCTTCTGCTTCTTCTTTTCCTGCTTCTTTTACTTCTTCTTCATCCTCTTCCTCTTCTTCTTCATCCTCTTCCTCTTCTTCTTCATCTTTTACCTCAAATATGTCTATCCACAGTAAAGAAACAAAAAATAACAAATGGTAACTTTATAAACGATATAATAGCAAATAGAAATAAAGGCAGGCCAAACAACACATGTAGAAGGGAACTAGAGAATGAGGTTAAAAAATGTGAAGGCATGGGGTGAGCTGCATGTGATAGTGATAGGATAACTTTGCATGATTTGGTTGTGGGCCTATGCTCTATTGGGGAACAAAGGGCAGAAGAAAGTTCAAAGTCAGGTGTTGGCAATTTGGCATAAACCACTTTGCAGCTGATTAGTGGCATACAAGCCAGAAAGCAATTTATGTGAAGGTAATAATAGTCTGGGGAAGTCATTTCTCTTCACCAAATAATGGTGCTCTGCTATGATGTTACAAAAGTTTCTCTGGAATGAGATCTGATGTAGAGATTGTGTTTATATTTTATTTATACATTGCTAAGTGTTTTTCGGTAATTTATGATTCATTTTGGGTATATTTTATCGAGTTTTATGTGAGCACCATCGTGGTAAGTGAACAAATTATTATTTAATTTTACTAATTTCTCTACACATCTTGTCTGTTTATTTACTAATATTTAACTACTAACTCAAATAAGTTATTATAGCAGTATTTTAATATTATTCCTCAACAATCCCTGGTCACTTTTATGTATAGTATATGTGTATGCTACATGGCAGCTCAATTAGTGTAGTGTATGTTAATGTGCTACACACTTGCAGAATTTCAAAATTGCATTTACCCACCCCCCTCCCCATCCCCCTACATTCTTGTTTTATTTGTTCCTGTATGTTCAGTTTGGGTCCATATGGCCAGGTTATCTGCATGTAGAACCTTGTAAACTGTTTTTGGAGGTAATTGATGAGAAGAATAAACAGGGTAGGCGATATAACAGCTCCCTGGGAGACATGCTCTTGTAACCTGACCAGCTTACTCTTGTGGTCTTCCAGTCTGACTCTTGTGCAGCGTCTGTGAAAAAAGTCTCTTTTATCTCACTGCATACTAGATTTTTCCAGACCTTATCAAAAGCTTTAGAACTGGCATCACAGCCCTCGGGACATTCCTATAAATGCTCCATTTCCATCTTAAGCAGCGATCAAAGAGTTCTAGTTCCGATAGTACCAGTAGCAGCCTGATTGTATGTCCTACTTACCATTCCTCTGAGTGTTGAGGTTGGCCAGATCCCCTGATAACTTCCCACCGCACCATTCTCTCTCTAATGATCAGTCTGTCCTTCTGCATTGTTTTCTTGCTTCCTCTGCAAAAAGCTTTGACCACATCTAGCTTGTCCTGCATTAATTCTCCTCCATTGGTGTAACCTCAGCCAATCTGTCTGCCTCTCTGACCTCAGTGAGGATTTCATAGATACAATTTTTTTTTAAACCTTTCATGCTGATGATGCTGCTGTTAGAAGAACAATCAATCTATCAATCCTCATCATACCTAGAGGCACATAAGGCAGAGACAAATTGTCGCCACTCAGTTCAATCCTGAGCCATCCTCTCTATATCCACTTTTGTCCTTTGCACAGCCTTGAGTTCAGCCTTAAAGGTTCACCTCCCAAGTGTCTCTGGGCTTACCTCTTCCTCACTGTCCTTGTGGTGTCCATTGCATTGCCTGTCTCGGCCATCTCTCTATCTTCATTCTGAGGACATGTCCAATCCACCTCCATCTTTATTTTTTTATTTCTAAATTTACATCTTTTAAGTCTGTCATTTGTTGTAATCTAGAATTGCTGATTTTATCTTCCCATGTGAACCCCAACAATCTTCTGGTATTCTCTCAAAACCTCTAGCATGTTCTCTATCTTTCTGTCTGTTTTCCAAGTTTCTGCTCCATAGAGGAGAACTGTCCTAATGCATGTTTTGTATATCCTGAGTTTGTTTTAGTGCTGTAGATGTCTGATCTCCAGATACTCTGAAGTCTGTTGTAAGCAGCATCTGCCTTTGCAGTTCTCTGCTTGATTTCAACCACTACATTTCTATCTGAGGAGAAATTGCTTCCCAGGTATTTGAAGTCAGTTACTGTTTCCAAACCTGCATTAGTTAGGAGAACACAACACAAATATTCCCAAAGCTTTCAAATAGTTACGGTAAAATCTAAGGAGGATGGAGTTGATTAATGTTAAATTTTTGGTTAGACTGGTCGCCAGCACTATGCACAAAGAACTCGATCGAATTGCCGCCTGGTGTGATGGTTCCAATGCCTATGTCAATCCTTCGAAGGCATCAGTGTCATGGTTCTCTTTGAACAATCACATTGTCAAGTCGGACTTACCAGAAGTGAAAATGCGTGATAATGTATTGATCAGAACCAACGTTATGACGTTTCTCGGGGTGAGGTTCGATCGCAGCTTGTCATTCAGGGAACACGTTGACCATGTGATAACAAAAGCACGCAAAGGTCTATCTGCAATGAGGATTATGGCTGCTTCCAATATTGAGCAAAGACTACTAATACTTCTATTCTACGGTCTGGTCCTTTCCCACATTGAATACGCTCTGGCCATCCTCACTGTCAGTGCTACCCAAATTGTACGACTCGAAAAGGTGCAAAATGAAGTCATGCGCATTATTTTGGGATGTACAAGAGACACATCCTGTGGAGCAATGAGGTATCTACTTGACTTTCCAACAATGAACCAAAGGATCAGGATGTGGAGGGCTCGGGCATATCTCAAAATATGTGCTGATAAGAAACACCCACTGCATCAAGTGCTTTTTAGTGAAAAGGGCGACAGACTGAAGAGGGGGAAATCGTGGCTAGGTCGGGCAGAAGATGTTATTAGGCAAATATGCAGCCTAACCGACATCATACCTGGTGCAGAATTGATACCTGTGCCTCAGGCGTTTATTTGTACATTTTCCTGTATTGTCACACTGAACAGGCGATGTAGAGAAGAGAATCCTGTTGCTGTTAATGCAGAGGTCAACGCTCTCATCGGTGAAAATTCAGACGAAGCAGATGCAATAATCTATACAGACGGATCCGTTATACGCCAAAGAAGAAGCGCATGGGCATTTAGAGCACGCTCAGCGGGCAGAACAGTCAAAGAAGCCAACTGCGCCTTCTCCATGACAACCAGCAGCATGACGATGGAGGTGATGGCAGTGACGCAAGCGCTTGCCTGGCTTGAAACACAAAAATACACCCGCATATGTATACTCAGTGATTCAATGAGTATGATCCGGAGTGTTCAGGCAGGATCAGTGCGAAGACAATGGCTTGAATCATTACAGAAGTCCACTGTGCGTGGAGTCACCTTTATTTTTGTTCCTGGACACGCAGGCGTAGATGGAAATGAAAAAGCTGACAGGTTGGCTGGATCCGCTATCACTACCGACGGTCAGCCTATGGATCATGCTGATATTATCAATGCCCTCAGAGAAATGGGAAGGATAGAGGACTTTGGTGGCAGTGAATCAACATCACTCGCCAGAATGGCAGACTTGGGAATTAAGATCGGCACAGCAAAAAACGAGACGCACACCAGACATGCCAGAAGACAGTTCAACATAGAACTGGTACTATTAGCCATCGGACGTTGGGGTTCATACTGAGGGGAGGATCTGAGCACCTATGGACATGTCCGGAGTGCAATGAGGATAACCCAATTAACTAACTAACTAACTAACTAACTAACACTGGGAAAGGAAACAGGAAATAAACTAGAATTTGGTAGCACAAAGTGTCCAGAAATGTTACAAATTCTAATAATTTTGTGTTTCCTCATAATTTTTTTTTTATTTCAGGGGACATTCAAAGTGAATGGAGCAAAAGCATCCAGACAAGTATTTTTGTTTGAAAGAGGTCTGCTGATCAGCAAGTTGAAGGAAGGAGGCATGCTGAGCTGTAAGACATTCATACCAGTGAGTTTTCTTTTAACTGAACATTCAGTCTGAGTATTTCTATTAGCTGAATATCTACTGTGAGTTTGAAAAAAGTGACAATGGGTCACATCCTCGAAGAGTGTCCCAAATACAACATTTCTAGGCAAAACTTCTGGCCAAGAGAGACACAGGTGAAAGCCAAACTTTATGGGCTGCTAAGTGAATTACAAAAGACAGTGAAGTTCACACTAGAGAAAGCATTGCAGATTATAAATTTCATTATTGCTTTTGCACTGTTTGCATCTTTCATGGGTCCAAAGATTCATCATAAGACTAAAATCTGTAATAAAGCTTTTGTTTTTTTTAGTTGTACTCCAGGTTTTAGAATCCTCTATAGAGTTGATATGTTTTTATCAGAGCTTTATATATTGTGATCTTGATGTTATGAAATAGAGCATTTCATTTTAGCTAATGCTGTAGGGTAAAGTATACCTTATTTTTAGATCGTATTCTAGATTGTATTTCTTCTCTTAGTATTTAGAGCAGTACCTAGATACTTTTTTGGTTTACATTGGTAGAAAAAACCCTAATTCATATTGACACACAAAAAAGACAAAAAGACGACCATACAAATGTAAATTAGGCAATGAAGTTGAAGAATATTTCAACTCATCAGATGTGGATGCCGAAGAAATAGTAACCTCTGCTTCATTCTTGTCTTGTCTTGTACAGTGTTCTAATCTGATGCTCATTGAAGTGATTCCGAATGATCCCTTGAGCTTCCATATCATTCCATTTGACAATCCCAGAGCTCAAGATACACTTCAGGTCAGTATTTAAACTCTGATAGTGTCAGTTTATGTACATTATCATATACCAGGATAAATGTGAGGAGCAGCTGAGAAGTTATTAGTGCTGTTCATCACTTTAACTGTGCTAGCAAGATGATGCCTCTATAGACACAATAGCTTGGACAACCCGCCCAGTATGGGCACTGCTCTCACAGAAAGAAATTGCAACCTACTGTGAGTATTTTGCAAAGTAAAGTCATGTCTGTTCAACAGTCAATAAACATAAATGACTTTAAGGGAAGTTCAAGAACTGCCTTGTCCGGTAGGAGCCTGCATGTGCTACAGGTGTAGCCAGACCGTCATCTAGCTACTGTACTCAAACCAAGTTGGAACTTTTCAAAACATTAAAAAAGGCCTTAAGACAAGGATGTGTACTATCACCCGATTTATTGAATTTGTACAGTGAAATAATAATTAGATCCATACATGGTATGCCAGAAATAGTGGTTGGTGGACATATTGTTAACAACCTGCGATATGCTGACAATATATGTTGACTGCTGAAAATGAAAAACAACTGCAAGAAATGATGGATATAATTGTAACGGAAAGTGAAAACAAGGGTCTTAGTCTGAACAGCAGAAAAACAGAAGTAATGGTAATTAAAAAGTAAACTGGCCCTTCAAAATGCAACAATAAAGTAAATGGGACAAACCTCAGGCAAGTTGATATGATTAATACTTGGGTATCCTGATAACATCAGATGGAAGCCCCTGTGTGGGTTCCGGGGCCCCATTGTGGGGAAAACAAGAATAGACCCACTGCCTCCCCAAAAGCATGTTGTAAGAGTCAACTAATTGGGGAGCTTCCTTTGAAGACGGAGTGCGTCTGCCGGAGAGGCAAGGAACCAACAGTCTGTATTCAAGAGAATGAGATCTGTAAAACTGATGCACACGCAACACTCAGGTTCTGGAGCAGGACTGCAGTTCAGTAGTAGACGAGCAACCAGAACCTTCCGCCAGAGTTTACAGCTGGTGAACGCGAAGAAGAAGAAGAGATCAGATGGAAGATGTATTAAAAAGTTAAATGTCGAATAGCTCAAGCAAAGGCAGCATTTTACAAAAAACAAAAAAATATATTTTATGCAGTTTTTCTTTGTCAATTGAGATGAGAAAGAGAATTCTTAAAAGCTATATAAATCCTATATTGATACACAGATGTGAATCATGGACAGTTAGTAAATTAGTAAAAACTTGGAAGCTGCAGAGATGTGGTTTTATAGTTGAATGATGAGAATACTCTGGACAGATAAAAAGAGTAATGAAGATGTCTTGAGAAAAACTGACTCACAAAGAGAACTGATTGCCCATATCAGAAAGAGACAATCTACATTCTTTGATCATGTGATGAGAAGGAGAAAACTGGCGTACATTTTACAGTAGGAAAGTTGGAGGGGAGGAGAGGCAGAGGGACACCGAGAGAAAATATGCTGGTAGTTTGACATTATGGCATGGAAGATCATCCATGTCAGAGTTGATTGAAAGTACACTGAACAGAAGGTTGTGGATGCACATGACTACTAACACCAAATGTCATGGACTTTAAGAAGAAGAATCATATACCAGTTTTGTATTTACTTAGTTCAGTATGACTGCCGTTTCTACAAGACCATAATCTGGCATTGCTGTCCATTACAAGTCTCTATAAATGGGGAATTTGGGGGGAGGCGTGGGGGAATTCTCATTGGTTCTTGTCTTGTTTTATGTGTTTCTGGTGTGAAAGTGTTAAATATCACAGTAGATTGTCAAAGGAACAAGGGCAGATAAAAAACATGGAAAAGAGAATTAGAGAATGAGATGAGGAGGACATAATATGAGCTGCACGTGAGAGCCATATAAACTTATTTTCTTTTCTGAGGCATACTGAGCTCCTGTAGATGTGCCCAGAATACAGTATAATTTGTTCCTGGTAAAAGTAACAGGACATTTGCACAAATATAATGTTACCTTTGATTGTAAATTTCCTCAATTCCTTTTGACTAAACTCTTTCAGTCATAAGCAACAGATAAAAAATGATAGGCCTTCCTTCCTAAAACCCAGCCTTTGTGTAATGTGGTTTCACTATTTCTAAATTTGATTAGAGTTTAATAAGAAATCTGGCTGTTTTTACTGACCTGTTTGATAATAAATATTTTTTTTTAAAGTAAAAAACCCTTTTAAATGCCAATGGCATATCAAAGATATGATAATAGACACACATTTTTTTGTAGACCAATCAGCACTCATTGGATGGTGTGATAAATATTCTTACTGGCTGCCTTTAATTCCCAAGAGTATTAATATCTTGTCATCCTTCTGTGGGATGCAATTTTTATTTTATTTGAAGCCCTACTCTGGCTCTTGCCAGGGGCCGCAATATAGCCCAGCCATAAATATGGTCTAATGGCTGAACACGGTTTCTGGGACCTCTCCACGGGTGATCCTCATCCACATGGTGGCACTTTGTGTCATCCGGTGTTTATCGTTTGTGTGATGTCCTGGTGGGGTAAAAGAAGATAGACAGAGAGAGAACTCCTCAGTCATTTCTCTGGAACCTCTTTTGGGCTAGGTTGAACTGGGAGCTAAGGTCAGTTTTTATTTCACTAATCATTTCATAGTTGTTATTTCCCTTCAAGTGCATCTTTTGCAAAACTGTTTGAGGCTGAAATGGTGAGAAAGGAAATGAAAATTATGAAAAGCTCAAATTGTTTCCTTTATATTTGTCTTCCACTAATTTCCAAGTGTGTTTTTAATGAGTTTTAAACTCTTAATATCTTTGCCTCTCCTTACAAAAATAAATCAGGCCAGAAACATGGAACAGAAACGACGATGGTGTCATGACATTAAGCATCAGATACTAGAAAGTTTTAAAGGACGTATACCAGACAATGCAAAGAATTTGATTATGCAGCTGGGAAAAGACTGGAATGATGGTAAGTTAGTAGAGATGTTCAATTGTTTCACTACTAAAAAAAACTGTTATAAGTCTGTCTTCCTCTTCTTCTTTGCCTTTTATTGGTTCTAAACTTCGGTGGAAAATTCTGTTTGTCCTCCTCTGGACTTGTTCCAGAATCTGATCTGTTTTACAGATCTAGCTTATTTGTATGCAGACTGTTGGTTCCTTGCCTCTCAGGCAGATGCCCTCCGTCTTTGAAGGAAACCCCTAATTTGTCCACTCTTACAACATGCTTGTTGGGGAGGCAGTGGGTCTGTTCTTGTTTTCCCCAGAATCTACATGGGGATATATAAGTCTGTAAAGTGTGAAGTCTTTACATATATGATATATGACATAATTAAATAGACTGAGGTGACCAACTCACTTTCCCATCACTCTTGCTTCTCAGACAAATCCATAGCGCCTTACTTCTGAGTGTCTTTAGTTAGAGCAAAGACCTTTAATCCCAATGCCCATACTCTCCCTCCTTTCTCCAACCCTTAAACTCAAAATTTTGCCTAGGCAGTGCCGTTAAGCTGCTATTTTTCGATTTCTGCCAAGGGATTTTTCACGTGCCCAACAATACAAACGGGTGTCCGATCTTACTACCCAGAGACCTGGGTAAATTACTTGAAGTCCACATGAAAAAAATCTCAGCCTTCACCGGGGCTTGAACCTGAGACCTCCTGCACTTGAGGCGGATGCCATGCAGGCCCGCATTTATTAGCTTTACATTCATTCTTTTTCACCACAATATTCCTTCTATGCTGTGCAGGTGCAAATTAATAAAAAAAAAAAAATTTTTTTTTTTATTTATTGTTTTAGTGATTCTCCATGTTTCTGATTAGAGTGGAATCTTTGTTAGGTCCAAGATTTCATTTCGTTTGACTTCACAAATCTCCTATTTCTGTTGAAAGTTCCTCTTGCTTTTTGTATTCTTCTTTTACTATCTATTTTTTCCCCCAAACTATTTTTGCCTCTGGTGTCATTTATGTTTGACTGGTATATCCTATAATGTGCTGAAATATCTTACTAGTCTCTTTACTGTTTCCTTGAAGAACCATCTTTTCATTTCCAGTTTTTTCAAAACCTCTGCATTTGATGTTTCACAGATGTTGTATTATAGTTTAAAAACATTGTGTGTGTGTGCAGATTATTTATCTAGAGATGCTTTGGATTCTGGGAAAAGAAATCAGCATAATGCACCAGAATATTTGGAAAAAAGAAGATTTCGCCGGAAGTCTGGATCTCGCTTGCCAGGTAAATAAGATAGAATTATTCAGATTTCTATCATTATTTTTCTGCATCTGTTTGGCTGCCTCAGACATGAACATATTGAAACTATATAATGTGGTTTGAAATGAAGAACAAGAAAGTGCAGTAGGGAATGGGAAAACATAAGATAGGAATTACATTAATCACAAGAACGAAACCTAGAATAGAAGGAGGCAAAGACTGATAGCTGATTCCCTAGGAGGAAACTGTAGCCTGGTTATTATCCCTTCCATTTCCAGCTGAAGCAAGACTTGTTTATTCTAAATTGTAAATACAATTATTAAACCTTAACAATTATTTCTACAACTGCCAGACTTTTTACAAATTACAGTTGACTTGCTTTGATGTAAGCTACATTGACTTTACTAGCTAGGAGTCAGGAAAGCAGTTTCATAATTCTGATATACCAAGATCCTAATTCTTGGCAATAGGTTGGATTATGAAGACAGCAACAGCGACCACTAGAAATTAAATTTAGTAGACCCCTACAAAACACATGGACTTCACTGAGGACATTTATCTTCTCTGCCACTGAATCAGATCCTAGATAAATTAAACATGCTTGATGGGGTCTAAAAATCTATAAGGGCTAGACAAAGATAATGCAGGCAACAGTAGTATAATTTCTCTTAGTGATATCACACTCCAAGGTGAGGGGTCATACACCTATTTGGGCAGTAATGTACATACAGATGGGGGAGCTGGTAGAGATGTTAATATACAAATACAAAAGGCAAGATACATTTTTCATAGCACTATACAATTGTGGAAGTGAAAGAAAATTAAAACTAATACTAAACTTAAAATGTTTAATGTCAAATAATCACTGCTGTATGGAGCAGAAACATGGAAAACAACCAAAATAGTAACTAATAAACATTCAGTAATAGGTGTCTGTTAAAAATAGTTTGAATTAAGTGGTATGATAGAATCACTAAGTGAAGCTTTGGGAGAGGACTAAACAAATTCCAGTGAAGAGCTGAAGAAAAGACAATTTGGCATAAACCACTTTGCAGCTGATGAGTGGTATACAAGCCAGAAAGCAGTGACAAACTACTGAAAGAAAATTGTCTAATAAAATCAGTCAACAAAGTCTAGGATATGACATCATACAAGGGACATGCAACTCATGTCTCAAAGGTTAGATATTCAACTTTGTTCTCTGCAACCTTGGAATATAACTGTTAACAGTATCATGTTCTAGCAAAAGTAGATTACCCATTTCATTCTAATACTCCATCTTCTTCTTTGCATTCACCAGCTATAAACTCCAGCAGAAAGTTCTGGTTGCTTGTCCACTTCTGGACTTTAGTCTGGAACTTGAGTTTTGCATGCACATCCATTTTACAGATGTGTATATATATTTATATATATATGCAGAGTGTTGGTTCCTTGCCATTCACACAGATGCACTTTCGACTTCAAAGGAAACACTCCTAATTAGTCAACCTTTATGACATGCTATGGAATATCTGACATAATGTTGATCACTTTACCCACCGAGTTTAGCTATAAAAATATCAGTCTAGCATCATATGCCTTCTGTGCTAGTGATATATAAATATATTTTACCTTTTTTTAATAACAAAAACTTTTCTTTGTAAACATAAAATCAGTTGTTAGTGACTAACTTCATTTTTTTTTTTTAAACGTAAAATCAGTTGTTAGTGACTTTAACTTTGTTTTTAAAAAACACATAAAATCAGTTGTTACTGACTTTAGCTTTATTTTTTTTTTAAACATAAAATCAGTTGTTAGTGACTTTAACTTTATTTTTTTTTTAAACATAAAATCAGTTCTTAGTGACTTTAACTTTATTTTTTTTTTAAACATAAAATCAGTTCTTAGTGACTAACTTTATTTTTTTTTAAAAACCTAAAATCAGTTGTTAGTGACTTTAACTTTATTTTAAAAAAAAGAAAAAAAAATCAGTTGTTACTGACTTTAACTTTATATATTTTTTAAAACATAAAATCAGTTGTTACTGACTAACTTTATTTATTTTCTAAACATAAACTCAATTGTTACTCTTTAACTTTGTTTTGTTTTTTAAACAGATTTCAGTCTTCTGATACCTCAGAAAACAAAGAAAGGTAAGAGAACAGAACTCAAGACTTTGTAAAATAATTCACATGCCTGTAATTCGTGTTGTGCCTGTAAATGACTGTCATTACTACCTCTGCAGTGTTACAATTAAAACGGAGATGGGGTAAGGGGAAGGGAGGAAGAGTCCTTGAGCCTAAATCTATATTGGGTAATTAATCTAATCATGATTTATCTTGGCATCTTCACGAAGGTAGTTTGCCATGAAAAAAAAACAGTGCTCACGAATAAGAAAGATGGTCTGTCACAGCGAGAAACAAGAGTGTTCATTTGCTGTATAGCAGCGTCTCTCAAATTTTTTTCCGGTGGGACACCCTTGTCTGCCTTTAAAAAAAAATTGGGGGGCACACCAACTCTTAAAGGGCTTTGAATACATTAGGAAAAGAAGAAGAAAAACAGTGCAAATTCAATGTTCAGTTGTCTTCATGTGATGAATGAAACTGGAAGAGTTTTTAGTTATTTCCTGTATGTTTATGGGAAGCTTAGTTAACTGTACCATCAAATCCCTTGAAGGTTACTCGTGAATTTGTTTTTTTAATGTAAGCGTACGTTAAGAATGCACTGCAGCCTTGTCAGTAGCATTGTCTTCTGAGTGCACCTGCATGCAGAACTCTTTTTGGCTTTCTTTATGGTATTTCTGTTTTTAACTGAAGTTTTCGCTGATCTCAAGTAGATATTGAAAAATTCTTGAATATTGCCATGGCACCCCAGGCATATGCTGGACCCAGTTTGAGAACCGCTGCTTTATAGAATCTGTGTTGCCATATGCATGTGAGACATGGGTAGTGAGAGACAAGCCAAAAAACACCTACAGGATAAAAGTGACTTTTGAGAAGAATGGAAAGAATATCCCAGAATTTTAGAAACACAAAAGAAGAGGCAACACTCCTTAAGACTCATGGAAACTTAAATGGTTATACAAATTAGATGTAGACAGGTAGCTTATGAGAAAGAATTGACAAGAGAATTTGGTGACAACTGGCAAGACTGATGGAGGGCTGTGTGGTCTCAAGGCAGGGTGATCGCCTCGAGTGCTAGAGGTTCTGGGTTCAATCCCCGGTAAGGGCCAAATTTAGAGGTAAAAATCTACCCAAAGTATTGTAGGATCATCGCTGGGCTACATAACCTGTGCACTGTGCTGAGCTTCTTCGGACACAAACTTGAGTTAGAAGAAGAATGGAACACTTATGGGTTACTACCTGTGTGCCCTGATGTTGATCCATTTTTCAAAACCTAAAAAACCTCTGGCAAGACTGATGGGGAAAAAAAAGAGATCAGAAGACAAATAAATACTTAGATGGCTTGGTCATAAGGACATGATATGTGATTCCAGAGATCATGTTGGCTGTCAAAGGATGACTGTCTGCACGTATCAGCAGTTAAATTTAAATACATTATTTGACTGTTTAAAAAAAAGCTATAGCTCTTAAACTGACATCTTCTCTTAACATTACGAAATAAAAGTCAACTAAATGACCCTTTTCTATGCATTCATGCATATTGGGCATAAAGGGCAAGACCTATATTTTATAGACCAATTGGCACTCGGTGGGTGATGTGTATGGTCAACATTTCGCCAGCCACCTTTACTTCCCCGGACTACCTAGTACCCATTTGAGGCTGGGTCAAACTGGGAGCTAAGATCATTTTTGAAAAAAGTCCTGCTCCATCAGGACCTGAACTTACTATCTTCCAATCCACATGCGGGTGTCTAGCCACTACACGGTTATTCCCACTTTATGAAATGTGTGCTTGAAAATGTTTCTATGAAAGCTTGATCACCGAGCCATTTCACCTAGTGAGTGCTGTTTCGTCAAAAGGATTTGTGAGTAGAACCTTGTTCCCAGTGTAGCACAATGGTTTGCAAATATGTTTCTTTATCTGTAGAATAGAAATTTAACTGTCCGCTAAATTTGAAAATTGAGTTATTCATGAAAAATAGAGATTGTTCTAGGTCTTCTTCTTTTTGTCATCACACTGTTACTGGGTTGTAGCCCAGTTGTCATGGTTTTTGTACTTGTCCTGCACTTCTTGGGTGGCTTAGATGTTGGATTTGTTCTCTTTGCAGTATTCAGCTACACCATCTACCCATCTCTTCCTTGATCTTCTTCTCGCCTTTTGTCCTGACATTCTTCTATAGAAGTTTTCATATACGGTCTGGTCTGACTGCATTTTTACTGGATGACCACACTAAACCATTCTCTTTCCTTGATTTAATTCCGGTACAGTCTTGTTCCAACCTTTTCTCTAATGCTAAGATCCATGACCTGTAACTGCTGGTGTTGGTGATATTTTGGAGACACTGCATATGATTGTTGCATATTTCAGAATATTAAACCTTTGAGTAATAAAACAATTGCATTGACTTCTTTAAGTATAGATGTCAAAAACTGTCAGTTTGTTAATTGGTCAGCTTAAAAAAAAAACTTCTTAGTGGTAGTGTCTTAGTTGTTTTGTCCAACTTTGTCATTTTTTTTCAAATAATTTTAACTGTTTTCTTCTCTTTTCTACAGGTGGAAATAAGAAGGTAAGTCAAATAATTATAGTCAGGATCACTTTAAATATTCCCAAAGATAGATTACACAATATGATTATCACATTTATTTAAAAAGTACACTTAAAATGCTTGAAATTTAACAGCATGAACAATCCTACAATCTTTTATAATTAATGCATAATTCATAAAGTATTAAATAACTAAAAGTAATTAAGGAGCGACTGGTAAAATGGTTAAGAACACAGGGGGTTCATGTGGGAGACTCAGGTTTGAAACCTCAGTAAGGTCGGAGATTGTTTCTTTCGGGAAGGGGAGGGGGGCAGAAATAAAACCCCAACCTGCATGATCCGCGGTGAGAGCATTTCCATGTGGCTCTAAATCCTTAGGCTCAAACTTCCACAGTCTGCACTACAAAAATTGTAAATTTTGTTTTCTCTACTCCTGGAATGCCTGGCAGTGTCAGGGCAGAAAGAGATCCCTAGAACAGACCCTTCTGTTCGCTTGTTGTTTTTCAGTGTCTCTGATATTTTAACAGTCCGTATTCTGTTAGGTTGACTTCTGGTTCTATTACCGTTTTTTCTGTATAACACTGTCCTTTTTGATGCCCTTTCTATTGCCAGTCTTGTTACTTGTCTACCAATAAAGTTCAGTATTGGTAAAATGGTAAATACAGGCGGTAATAGAAGTTTTTCTAACTAGCAAGAATAAATATCCCATTTTGGAGGGGAAAAAAACTATATATCCCACTTATAACCCAGAAAGTTTGAACAATATGTTATTGTTTAAATACTACTATTAGTAAGTGACATCTGTTTTATTGGTATATTATTATATATTACAGTGAGAAAAAGAGTGTTCATGTGCTAAATGACTTGATGATCCTGTCTCTTTACAGATCTTGGTCTTTGACATTCCTGATAAGTTCAGGAAAAAAGTCCTTTGCTTTTACTTTACTTTATTATCTTTAGCCACAAGTTTTATTAATTTCTTGAGATAGCAACTTCTCTGGAATAACAGCTGTAAGTCCAAGTGTTATACACACATGCAAACATGCATGTGCACACGCATCCCATGATTATTTCAGACTGTATCTGATACTTCAGTGTGAACAATTGTGTTTGCTTTTACCCTACCCCACCCCAACCCCCACCCAACCCCACCCCCACCCCTCACACACACACGAACACACACTCTCTCTCTGCCTCTGTCTCTGTCTCTCTCTCTCTCTGTCTCTGTCTCTGTCTCTGTCTCTGTCTCTGTCTCTCTCTCTCTCTCTCTCTCTCTCTCTCTCTCTCTCTCTCTCTCTCTCTCTCTCTCTCTCTCTCTCTCTCTCTCTCTCTCTCTCTCTCTCTCTCTCTCTCTCTCTACGTACTTATGGGCATCTATATGCTGTCTTAATTTTCTGAGCTGAGAACTATGTAGCCTTTTAGAAGATAATATGTCACTATCAGCCAAAATGGTAAAGATGTTTGTGAGTTGTAATAAACTTTCATATGTTCACTTCACTGAGCCCATATTTGTGCAAGCCATTTGTAGAATATTTTGTGTACATGAACTTCAACTTTTACATTCAGAATGAACCTCAGTCAGAAGAAAAAAGAACTCCTCGTAGGTCTGAGAGCAAATCACCTGAACGACATCGCCGCATATTCTCAAAACAGGTGTGACATTTATATAACTGGAAAACTAATGATGCATGCTAGTTAGTTAGTTGACAGATTATCTTCACTACACATCAAGCCATTCAGTTCATAATTGCTAGGATACCCAGCTCAGTATATCCTTCATTGCATGGCAGATAAAGATACCAGTTCTGAGTTACCAGTTGTTAATTGGTTTATTATTATTTTGTTGTTGTTGTTCCTGCGTAGTGCTCCTCTTTGTTTGTGCATGTATGTGTCTGCATGTATGTTTGTAAATGTCTGTGTGTGTTTGTGTCTGTGGGTGTGTCTCTGCGTGCCAGTGTATGTATGTTTGTATGGATGGATGGATAAATGGGCGGATGGACTAAGGGAGAGTTGGATGGGCGGACTGATGGACGGACGGACGGATCTCTGGCCTGTAACGATCTCCATTTGGAAAATTTCGGCTCCTGGGTAAACTTAATTGAATAGTGTTGATATAGGCCATTATCTGTAGTGCATGACAAGGACGTGTGGCAGGAATCTTACCTGGGGACCCATAAAACAGCCTGCTGAAACTGGAGGTGAGGTATGGGGTATCTCTTTATACATATCACAACAGACTTAACTTTCCCTCACTCCTGTGACTGAAATCACAGCACTATCTATTGTTGATTTTAAAAGTTCACATTATCTTGCCTTAGTACTACTTCTCATCAATATGTCATTTTAAGATTCAAACCAACGTCTTTTGAGCTGGCAGGCAAGTTCTAGCTGCTACACTACTACAGCTCCCCACCTGCCTGTTCTTGTGATAATGCTTCTTTGCATCATGTCAGAACATCTGGTCTTTACCAAACTAAAGAACAAA